AATTTTCAGCATAACCTACGAAAACACTTTTAATACCTCTAGCTCCTAACTTAGATGATTTAGGGTCAATTATTCTATAAAAGGCTAGACAGCCCCACACCCTTAAATACATCAAGTTTGGTTTTCTTGCTTTCCATACTTCATATGGAGAGACATGTGATTTCATAGATGTAATCTTATTGTGAACATGACATGCTGTAAGTAAAGCTTCCCCCCATAAATTATTAGGCAATTTAGAATTAAGAAGCATAGAGTTAATCATATCGGTAAAGATTCTATTCTTTCTTTCAGCCAGTCCATTTTGTTGAGGAGTAAAAGGGGTTGACTTTTGATGAATAATTCCATGCTCTTCACAGAAAGCATCAAATTCATTTGAGAAATATTCACCACCTCTTCACTTCGAACCATTTTGATTTTCTTATCTTTTTGGTTCTCAATTTCAGCCTTATAAATTTTAAATTTATCAAAGGCTTCATCTTTTGTTCTAAGTAAATACACATAAGTATATCTAGAACAATCATCAATAAAAGTGATAAAGTATCTCTTTCCTCTTTTAGTCAAAATTCCATTATACTCACAAATATCGGTATGAATCATATCCAATAATTGAGTATTACGTTCGGCTCTAGGAAAAGGTTTCTTAGTCATCTTTGCTTGTATACAAATTTCACACTTATCATTTTTAATATCTTTGCAATTAATCAAACCATGTTTAGACATGTATTTCAAAGATCTAAAATTTAAGTGTGCTAAACGTGCATGCCAAACATCAAAAGAATCAACAATATAAAGAGAATTCACATCATCTTTATTATTAACGCTTAGTTTGTACATGCCATCACAAGAATACCCCTTTCCCACAAAGATCCCATTCTTAGATACTATACAATTATTGCCCTCAAGTACAATCTTAAGTCCATTTTTACACATAAGACTAGCAGATACAAGATTTTTCCTAATATCAGGAACATGAAGTACATTGTTCAATGTAAGCTTCTTTCCGGAAGTAAAGTTAATCTCCACCACTCCTCTCCCGGCAACCATTGCTGCATCATTGTTCCCCATGAGAACAGTTTGTCCTTCCTTTTCCACTTTGTAAGATAAAAACATAGTCTTGTCATTACAAACGTGAATTGTGGCACCGGAATCAAGCCACCAATCGGAGGATTTAAATGCAGCCATGTTAGTTTCGGTAATCATGCCAATTTGCAATTCCGAGACCATAGCACATATGTCTTCGGATTTCTCTTCAACGGCATTGGCATTGTTGGTGTTCACTTCTTCCTTTTTCTTCTTGTATCTGCAGTCATTTTGGCGATGGCCTTTCTTTCCACAAAAGAAACAATTTCCAGAAAATTTCTTTTGGCCATTACCTGCCTTCTTGAACTTCTTGTCATTATTGACTTTGAAGTTCTTTGAAAACTTACTAGCTTCGGCAACATTAACTTTAGAGGAATCAACATTTTTGTTCTTGGAATCACGAGACTTAGTCTCTTCTTCTATTCTCAAGTGTTTTTGTAATTCCTCCAAAGTTATGTCATCTCTCCTATGAAGGAGTTTCTTTCTATAACCATTCTAACTTTGAGGCAATTTAGCAATAATTGTCCCCACTTGGAATGAGTCAGAAATCTCAACCTTCAATTCATGAAGCTTAGTAATAATGACTTGTAATTCATGTATTTGATCTAGAACGGACTTGGTGTCAACCATGACATATTCTAGAAATTTTAAGATAAGAAATTTGTCCGTACCTTCCTTCTCAGTTTTGTATTTGTATTCGAGAGCGTTCCAAATCTTCACCGGAGACTCCATCGAGTTGTAAAGATCGTAGAGCCTATCGGAGAGAGTGTAGAGAATATGACCTTGGCATATGATTTCATCATCTCCTCGCTTCTTTCTTGTGGTCTTTAATTCTTTAGAATCATCCTCTTTTGGTTCAGGAAGAGGCTCCAATTTCGGATCAAGTA